GTAAGGGCTGACTGGTGAGGGTGTAGACAGATGTCTTCTCTGAAACACATGGAGTATTTTAATGCTGTGAGATAATAATACAATGTTGACATTCCAATGATTTATAAGTGATTAATAATATATTAACTAGTAACTTATATTAACCATCTACTAAGGATCTGTTTAATTATAACATGATATGCTATTTTTTAAAGATAACTTACGACAGATTTGTAAATCATTAGCAATACTACTTAATAATAATTTGTGAACATATAGTCATGTTTTCTAAATGATTAGTTCATCATTATCTAATCACTTGTAAATTATTTATAACTTAATCTACAAAACAAAAAAATATTAACATATCACTTATTAATCATTTATGAACGCATAGTTATGTTTTGTAAATGATTAGTTCATCATTAACTAATCACTTATAAATGTCACTATAGTATTATAGTGCTATTTATAGTACACTATTTATAGTAACTTACAACTGTTACTATAAAGTGTTACCGATTCAAGATATGGGGGCAGAAATGTATATATTTATATCATTTCATATAGACTTTATACAGCAGTTAAATAAACAAGAAGTTAATATTAAGACACAATATTGACTGTTTTTGCCCTATTTCGCCAACAAATATAATTCCAATTTGCGTCTCTGAGCAACATGATGGTGTTTCGTTCCTGAATGACCACGACTTCCCCTATGAATACACTGTGGCAACTTATAATGTAATCACAGTTCATGAGGTAATACCAGCACATAATCTAAAACAATTATTATTATGTTTACAATATCATAGTTATCTTTCAATATAATACATTTGAGAACAAAACATTATCATAGTTTTATTAAAAGAAAATTAGGCTTATTAGGCTACATTGTGAACTTTTATTTTTTTATAAAAAAGCTTACTAATTTTGTGATTATGACATGCTTAATTTTTGAAATATAGGCCTGGTTTCACAGACAGGGCTTAGACTAAACCAGGATTAGGCCATAGTTCAATTAGGACATTTAAGTCATTGTTATATACGTGCCTTAGAAAAAACATTCCTGGTGTGCAATTTGAGACAAAATAAAGGCACTGATATATTTAAAGATCAGTCAGAGCAAGTTTATTTCAGTTGAAACCACTCAGATTTACATTTTAGTCTGGGATTAGGTTTAAACCTTGTGAAACCGGGGGATAGTCATTTAAATGGTTGTTATAAAAACTCTCAACTCTCTCCTCAACCACCACCAGTGTGCGGCAGCCACAGGACAACGGCGCCAGTGCGCTCACCACACACCAGCTACAGGTGGAGAGAAGAGAGAGATAGAGCCAATCCAGCGGATGGGGATTATTAGGAGGCCATGATTGACAAAGGCCAGGGGGGCAATTTGGCCAGGACACCGGGGTTACACCCCTACTCTTTACGAGAAGTGCCATGGGATTTTTAATGACCACAGAGAGTCAGGACCTCGGTTTAACGTCTCATCCGAAAGAATTGTTTCTAGCAATAGTTTTGATCAATTAAAATATATTTAAATGTAACCACTGTCATTGTCACCATACCATAGACATTACCTGAGATGTTAAAGGGGTCATATGATGCTATTTCAATTTTTCCTTTCTCTTTGGAGTGTTACAAGCACTTGGTGCATAAAGAAGATCTGTAAAGTTGCAAAGACTAAAGTCTCAAACCCAAAGAGATATTCTTTATAAACGTTAAGACTGGTCCACGCCCTCCTAAAACTCCTTGTTTAAACACGCCCCCACATGTCTACACCACTGTGTGGGAAGATTTGCATAACGCCGCCCAAATGTTCACGCTAAGAAAGAAGGCGTAATTTTTATTCTCGCTGTAGTATTGTTGCTGTCGCAGCCATGTCGTGAAGGCACTGTGTGCTTCGTTGTGAAAGCGAAACTACTTTGTTTGGTCTTCCAAAAGAGGACACGACTAGAAATCAGTGGTTAAGTTGTATTTACGACACTGTTCCAGAACATTTCAACCCAAATATTCAGACGTGTGCAGCACAATTTACGGAGGATGAGGACTGTTTCCCGAACCAGTAGCCGACAATGAGTCTGTGGCACAAAGGCTGTTTCTATAAAGTTGGGCAATTCCAACTTTGCAAGGACAGTCTGGCGCTTTGACTCACAGCCTGTAAGTAAATTTTTTATATTTAAATAATTTGCCACTGATGATTCAAATGCAAGTTTTTATGCAGTGTAGAGTAGCGCTTGTTGTTTCTCCGATCACAAATGCAGACATTGTTTTGTTTACGCGGTGCGATACGCAACGCATAAAAAGACAGTATAAAGGTCTGTTCACACCGGGACGAATATCGCGCGTGATTATCGCTGACATTTAGCGCCTCGTGACTAAGCAAAGGGCGCCAATGTGAGTGTGCACACCGACGCGCAAAACGCAAGGCGTAAAAGCGTAATTTAAAAAAAAAAACGCCTCGGGCTTGTTTTTTTGGTTTGACTCGCCGTGTTAAAAACTGGCCGACCAATGAGATTGGCGCTTTTGTTCACGTGCCTTGTGCTGCTGAAGTTACAGTAAAACACGACTTGGTGGCGCTCAAGCACAAAACGGTCTTGCCGAGCACACTTGATACCTAATGACAAAGAGGAAGTAAGTAGACCAAGAAGATGTATGAATGTAGAGCTGCTGGTCTCATTGGTGTCTGAACACAAAGTCGACAGCGACTACAAAAATCTTGATAAGAGGGAGTTGTTATGGAGAGGAATTGCAGATCAAATAGGATTCGATGTGTACCGGGGTATTTCTGTTTTTCATTAAGCGCCATCTAATGTCAGGGAGTGAATTTGCACATTCACTCGGCTCATTGCCAGCGAAAATCGCTTGAGTATGAACACAAAAGACGTGTCGAAAAACGTCGGCGATAAGCGCGATAATCGTCTCCCGGTGTGTACGAGGCTTAAGAATCAGAATCAGCTTTATTCGCCAAGTGTGCGCAAACACACAAGGAATTTGTTGTGGTTTTTAAGAAGCTCTTGATACAGACATGCATGCATACATACATATATACGTACATACATATATGACATGAGAACAGAAACATTTAAATAAGACTTATCAATAAATAATAATGTGTATGAATCTGGAACAGAAGATTTATGTACAGATTTGTGCATTATTTACTCTATATATACAGCTGTATAAAAAATATGCATATGTATTTACATAGTACTTGAGAGAGAGGCAATAATTAGAGATGGAGAATGAATTACACGCATTAATTACAGAACACAGGTAATAATTCATGATGGCATGGGGGAAAAAAATGTTTTTATGCCTAGATGTTCTAGTGCACAGAGATCTGTAGCGTCTGCCTGAGGGGAGAAGTGCAAACAGGTTGTGTC